ACGTCATAGTGAATTAGGGCAATTCGGGAATGGTGTATTTGATTGGGTAGTGCAACCGTAATGTCTCATACGAAGCATTCACAACCGAGCAATGCTATATTCCAAAGCTCTATCCCATCAGTAACTAGATGTCTTTACAAAAGGATATAGAAATATCCAAAAAGTTGATTACGAGTGAACTAAAAAATACACGTAAACTTTATCGTAACTCCTGTATAGATTTCGCAACAACAGCATGATTTATTGACATGTAAGAAATGAAGAAAGAAAAATAGATAGATTAAGGTAATTCTCTACTTTCATATCCCCATAATGCCTTGCGTCTATGGGGGGTAACCAATCAAAAAACTGTCCCAAATTGAAAGGTTTCTTAATTGAATTTATACTATACCTGCTTTTATCTGTACAATACTGATTATCAGTTTATTCCAAGTTATTGTTGCGTGTACAGATCATCAAGAGTTTTGGTCTTACAGAAAATGTATTGATTTACGAAAAAATGTTTAAAATTTACCTTAAACGTCTTCAAGCTTCTATCTTTTTCTGTTTTTTACTTCTTCATTTTATCTTTGGATACCATACGAGGTATTTTCAACATTGTCTGATCAGSCTTCAGCAAAATAAGTGGGTTTTTACCCTCTGGTTACCCCCCAAAGACGCAAAGTATTATGGGGATTTGAAAGTCGAGAATATGGCTTTGTGCGAGCTTAATATTGAGTCTGATAATAGACTATTAAACATAGCAGATAGGAAGTACAAATGGATTAAATAATGTTATCAAAGATATAGGAACAGAAAAGATGTATTTTCGGGTTCGAGACGGAGCGCCACTTTGTCTAGAGCGTAACTGGCAGGTCATCAGTAAAACTAAAGGACGTACAGAAATATAGGAAGATGTTAGGAAAATATGATTGATGAGAATATAAATAGTACTTGCCAGRTGTTTGCAACGGTCATAATGAATTAGTGATATTTCAAATTCAACATATCAAAAAGCGTGTTGAATGAATTTGGTTGTCATCGTTCACTAGCGGCGTGGTTTATTGCACAAGATTTTAAGGCAAGATAAACGCTTCATTTGATTAATTTTACTCCCTAAGTAAAAAATCAATGTCTGAGTTGAGCCTTGTGTAAATACAGATAGTGAATGTAGTGCGTGTGGAGCGAAACTCACAGAAAAGCCGCCTTTTAATTTAAGAAGGGCAGGGTGGTAGAGGGGGCGTACGAAACGCGTTTTAAGGAAATAATAAAATTACCTTCCCATTTCACGTTTCACGAAAAATAAAAACGCTCACTGAAATAAAACTTCGCGAAATAACGCTTTAGCCAACCACGTACGGGTAGTAATGGCTGTAAGATATAAGCTTATTTGTTTTATGTAAGCTTTTCTTAATCTGTAATTGTGTATAACTTCGTAAAGCGTACTTGCTAATCACGTAGTTTAACGTCTACTTTGCCGCGTGTTCCCATGGCTAATGCTACGGTTAAGAGTTGGAATGTTTGGTTATGATCGACTCTCTGTGTTTGTTTTAGTGGCGCCACTGTATCGGTTGTGCCAACCGATCGAGTCACGAACA